AAGTTCATCAAGTTGCATGTTTTTCTGAACTTTAAGATTTTACGCTGTGAAATGACATTCGTGAACCATGGTTTTCAAGAACCAATTTAAGGATCAAAGATTTTCAAAACCTGCAAGTTACAACTATGTTTTTAATTTTAAGCAAGAATTTTAAAATCAGTATCTTTAAGTAGTACCTATTAACTAAAATGTTCATTTCTCACCATTTAGTAGTTATATAATTTTACTAATTAAGGACTTTTATCTTTACTAATTGAGTGAGTATTTACTTTTGATGGTTATATGGCTTTCAAATTATAGAATGCTTTTAAATTCATCTCCGCAAATTCATAAATAACCTACTAAAATACCTACCAAAGGTGGCCATAGTGCACAACTTAGTTGATAACATAAAGTTATACAATAAAATTGAAGTTAGTTATTCGCATATAACCTATAACTAATCCGACTTTAACACACAAATGATCCTTCTCACTTAATTTACCAAATAAAGAACAATAAATCTTCCTTCGCACTTCAAGATAAACCACTACTCTTCTAGTCTTGGGAACAACCTCAGCAGCTAGATCCAAAAGGATTATTCAACCATTAAGCAATCAATTCAGACACATCATATCACCTGCACTTCTCCCCTCCAATTTTGACATGAAACTGATTATACCTTCTGTTAGAATCCCAGAAAATTCAGACAAAAATCGGGCTGGAAGCAAGGCTCAAAAGGGGAGTGCAAAAGTGAAGATAAGCAGGTAAGCAGGAAATTAAAAAGGATACAGGATGATAATGGCAACAGATGATCACGACGGGTGCATGAAGAGGGTGAAACTGAGACGGGAACAAACAGACTTAAAGTATACTCCAGGAGATTTTAACACGTGGTGTAGATCGGGGAAGCGTTAGGAATGCACGGCACCTTCCTAGCCAGAGGATCCTACACACACTGTGTTGATTGGAGGAGATATCTTGGCCATCCGATCTTCAGCAAGGCACCACCTGGAGGGCGATCACTAAGGGTATTTAAGGCAAATAATATGTTAGGTTTTAGGAACCGGTGGATCCATCCTGCCGCTTAGAATTTTTCTGAATCAGGCTCTCGGGTTTCCGGCAACCTGGACAGATTCATGGCATTTCAGTCTCTTTTCTTTGTATATAATCTTCTATTTCCGAAGATCTAAACATGGTATGAAATATTTTAAATATATTTTCATTTTTCTCCCTCAAATTCTTTATCTCCTCTCGGTTCGGTCTCTATCTCCTTCTATATCTTCATTCTCATCTATTTTCTCTGTTTTACGGCATAAACTGAGGTACATGTCAGGGCCAGCTCCCAAGAACTTGGTACCAAAGCAGATTGATCCAGAAGAAACCCTAGCGAGCTTCATGTCTATGGCGAAAAATAAAGGAAAACCCGTGGTGACCGAACCACAGAAGTTACAAACCCTAGAAGAAAATGTTCAAGATATAGACCAAAGATTCTCAGACTTCATGTCTGAGATCTACAACTCTCAGCAACTGACTAAGGCGTTCGTCAACCAAAGATTAGCTCTCTTTGACCAAAAGTTTGGCCAGCTTATAGAGAAGTTGCAGGGAGATGTACGGTTGAATGTATTGCTTCTCAAGGGTCCGAGTTTGCTTAATCCTCAGATGTAAAGGTAGCTGCAGCTGGTGTTTTGGGTAGATGGCTCGCTTTAGTCCAACGAAGACAGATGGAAAAAGGCCAATTGCAAATGACAGGAGAAAAGTCGACAGATGCAGAGTCACCATCAAGGTCTAAGTAATCTCCTGCTTCAAGCACATTTGAAAATTTAGAATTGTGAAGTGTAGCGGGATTGTTGGTTCTTTGCTTCAGGGTTCTGTTGCAATAGGTGCAGGCAGCCAGATGACAGATCCTATGACCAGATATAAGGTTCAAGACTCAAAGTCCATGAATGCCATATAAGATGCAAAAAACGAATCATGGTCCAAAGTTCCTCCTGACTTGGACAAGGTTGAAACTTTCAAATTAGAAAATTAAGGGTAGTCCCACTGCAGATATCAGCCAGGACTTCCCTATTTCAAGTATAACCAGTCAATCTGATGATAATGATGCTCTGGTAATGGCTAGATTCAATGTCTTGAAGTTCTGAGATGAAAATTCAAGTTCCATTAATGTAGAATAGTGACAAATTCAGGAAGGTACTAGTTCTTGAGGGCAAGGATTATTTTCGTGGAGGGAGTAATGCCAGGCCCATGTGAAATATATAGTTAACCAGGTGATTGTACGATTGAGGTGTCACTAACAGATTATTTGTTCTATTCCTATATTACAGCAGAAGGAAATAAATAGGACAGAGTGTGAAGTGATTAAAAGAAGAAAATTCAATCGAAAAATACAGCTTTTCTCTCTACAACAATTCCTCCTTTCTTTTCTACATTTTCAACATTTCTTCTCCCTAATTCTGTTTTCATCCTCACCTAAAGTCTTTTCTACTTCTGTTGCAACTCTTCTTCTTCCTAAATTTCTTCACAACTCACAGTCAGCTCCTAACATTTCCCAACCAATATTAGCACCCCCGGTAGGAAATTACCAATTCATCCTCTTTGCAACATTCAAACAATCTTTTGTTTGTGAGGCATTTAAATCCACATTTTGTTATGCAGATTCTAGCATGTTACCATCAGACTGTAGCCATAATTCTTCTTGAAGAAATGCAGACCACAGTCAACGATCTCTTTCAACTATCAAATTAACAAGAGAAATTCTTACCTCCATTAATGTGCCAAAGAGCCATTGTCTAAATTAGCTTCCAAGTTCCAGCTCCTAAACAAGATCCGTTAGCTCCTGAACAGAAAAAGGCCACAAATGGAAACACAAACCGGAAACCATAGATTACCTTTCTGAAGCTTCTCTTTTCAATTCGTCTATATGGCTTTCTAGTTTAGAACAAACAGCTTGAATTTCAATATTCTTTTGACACAGCTCGTTCCACTGTGCAGACAAAGCATTGAGCTCATATGCAGTATTTTGCTGATCATCCAGAGAAAGAAACTAATTGATCAGATCAGGATCAAAAGCACTGGGACACGATAAAAACAGAAAATTTCAAATATAAATCACCTGATGGTATTTTCTTTCACGATTTACAGTTTCAATCTTTTCATGATACTCCTGAGCCAATTTTCTCATTCTGAAAAAAGAATATTTTCCATGTAACTGTTGAAGTAAAAGGCATTACAGGAATGCTCGAGATAAATCATTTCAAAAGGAGCCATCAGTCACTTCCAGGGAACTTCACACTTCAATTGCCAACCAGAATCATGTTAGATAGCATTAGCATTTTCATATTGCTCAGGACAAACAAAATGGAATGGCATTCAATTTCAAAGGTAAGGTGAATGTCCAAAATATTAAATATCAATAAATTTGTTACGTAGGTTGCATATATTACAACAGTCACTATCTGGTTTTGGGACATAAATATGATATCTGAATTTCCAACATAGAATGGCAGGAATTCTGATGTACATTTGCAGCAAACTACTACAAATAAAAGCAGTGCTGTAAGCCAAAACATTCCAGAATACAAAGGTCACTACATGAGTGACAATGTGAAATAACTGAGCCATTACCTATTTTTTTAATGAAAATCTAATACTTGTATTTACAGTCTTACAGAACAAACCTGGATAAGAATGCTTCCAATCGTTGGTTGTTTTGTCTCCAGAGTTCAGGGCCATATTTTGCCATTAAGTCCAAATTTTCCAACCTGCAGGTACAAACAACATAAGTCTACTTTCTGAATACCAAATGAGTAGCAATACAAAAAGCTGTTTGTGATGCATAATGGCTTAGGTTTAGAATTTCTAAACAAATTAGGACTTGCATTTCTGAAAAACATAGAGAAAAGGTATTGTTTATTATTTCCTAGTCTAGTTCTATTTTGGAAAGATAATTTAATAGCTATTCAGTAAAATACATTGAGAGTTCTCTTAATTTTCTGATTATGTGATGCAGTGAAAAACTCAAATGTGATGCTTAAAAAACCCCTTCTTAGGTCTGAAGCCTGAGAAGTACTCAGTGTACAATTCATGTTTATCCCCATATTCCCAATTTGGGCAAACTGACAATAATTTGTTGAACCTCAGTTTGATACTGGATAACTTTTCTGGTACTCTGGCACCAGCCAGTAAAGTATTAAGACAAAGATACATTGAGAAATGAGGCATGGATATATGCTAAATGCAAACAAAAGGAATCTCAACAACTACGTTCTATAATTCGGAAAGGTAATGCAGAAGAAATATAATAAAAAACACCACTTTTTTCATAATTACTAGTTAAGTGAAAAAATACCAGCATTTGTTATGACCAGCTATGATAATACTACAAGCATGCTTGTTTCACTTTAATGAGGTTGGAAATAAGGAATGAAGCTGTATGCTTAGCTAACTTTAGTGAAGTCTTTAAAATCCAAATATTCTAATGTTCGATAAACAGACTCGTAAGGCTTAAAATGACTCAGAATTGCACTTTTCCCAACAGCAAAAGTAACTGTCAGACAATAATATCAAGCTTTTTACTATCAACAAAGCAATCAATAATCCAAACTTATAAAGGCCTCATACTCGATCATTTTTTGTCGCAAAGACCGTTGATTTCTTTGAAGTGACTGCTTCCAAGCAGTATCATCGTTTCTCTTATTTGCAATTGGCACGTCAAATTCATATCGTGCATTGAAGTCAATCATCACAGGAGGCTTCCCAGATCTTATTCGCTCATACTCTCTGGCAAGCATGGGGCAGTTCTGAGATTCAATTTCAAAATCAGATATGCTGTGAAGGCAATATTTGAAGAAGAAAAGAGAAACAACAAAGAGAAAAAAGTTGTATGCCACAAAGAAACTGAATGTAGAAGATTAGTTGCAGAGCAGAACAATTTCATTTGACACTTTCAATATTCAAGCGTAACACGACGTAAAAATACTCGGTGTCATCTTCTCTTCCCCTTTTCTACTCATGACCAAACAGAGCATGCCAACGACCTCCATCCAGAGTTCCTAAAAACCCTAAAATTTCCACATTTACCTTAACAAGTTCAGATAACATCCACCGCCTAAACCACCGTACCTCTCGAAATAAAACTAAACCTAAAAAATGGAGGAAAACGAAAATACAAAATTAACCAAAACTTCAGCTCTTTTGCCTCATTTTTCTCAGCAACCAAACAAAAAATAATAAAAGCCAAAACAGCACCCGTCCTAACCAGAAGAAACAGAAGAGCTACCTCGAAATTGAACTTGGGGACTGGAGGCAAATCTTTGAGAAAATCAGCAGGCTTCTTGGAGCTTCTGCGCATCTCTTCCTCTACTAAGCGATCGACCTCTGCTTTCACCTGCGGGTTTCCGTAGTCCTCGTCTATGTACGGCAATGCGTCCACCATCTCCGCATTGGATGCGCTGGCCCATGGCCTCGACGCATCCGGCGGTGCCTCCAGCATGAGAATGTCTCCGTTCTTCGCTGCCATTATTTGTCGCTGGTTCTGGAATATCAGAGCTAGGAAGAAGGAGAAAACACGAGATGGCCACCGGGTTTACTAATGGTTTTAAGCATATAAAGGTAAATTAAAAGCCGAACTGAAGAATAAAATTGAAATTAAATTACGACGAGCCCCTAGAGGTCATAAAAAAATAGATATATTTAATAATAACAATAATAAATTAATCAAAAATGAAAAAAATATATATATATATATATGTGTATAGATTTTTATGCTATTTAATTATTATAAAAATAAAAAATATAATGTAGTTAAACTGGATAATAAAGATGAAACTTTGTGCAAACAAAATTCAATTATTATAAATACAAATATATAAATAAATTAGAAGGAAATTCTTGAGTTTGAATCTAATTACAATTTTATTCATTAATTTGAGAAATTATAGTTCATTTTCTAGTAGTTTAATCTGATAAATCTTGAACAAAATAAGAAAATTGAATTTCAATCCATCATCTTCTCCACAAGGACTATATAAATACTATCTTACATGAAAGCTCACTAAAACAGAAAGAACGCATATCAAATCATTAACCCAAAACATGCTATGCTGGGATTTTTATCACTATTGTTCATCCATGGTCACCATCACTGAATACAATGATTTAAAAAAAATACCAAAAACAACCATTTATCATGGTTAAACCCTCCAACTCACAGCTTTGTTCTTATCACCTTTTCTGGGGTGTAACACAGAAAATATACAAGTGATGATCGAGATAGCAAGAATTACAAATTTCTGCAGAAAAAGCCTCGATTTTTGCTTTTATTGCTTTATTGTTGTTGAAATTTTTCGAAACCAAAACCCCCAAATATTGTCCAGTTTAAGTTCTTTGCTTTTCGATGCATCCTTGTCCGAAAGTTTGAAGCGGGTATGATGAGAATTTGGAGTTAAAACCATGCTGGTTAAGCTAGAGAGGTTGGCATATTCGCGTAGAGGAGAGTGAAGAAAAGCTCGACTTCTGGGACTCTATTAATGATTTCGATGAACTGGTTTTTGCCTGCTTCATTAACCAAGTATGAACTTGTCCGGGCAACTTGCGACAGAAGCCTGGCTAATGGTATCCCCGACTTTAGACTGCCTTCAGATTGAGTCTCCATATGCTCCATGAGTGCACCCACCACAGCCCTCAGAGACATCTCGGAAACACTAGCAAAATCAGCACTGCAAATAAGGGAAAAATAGGAGGTTAGTAATTTCCTTTTTAAAAGAGTGCCTAAAGATGTTTTGACTTGATAGCTTTCGTATATGTTTGTGTGCATGGCTGCTTATAATTGTCTGTATACAGTAGATGAGGCTTGTAAGCATGTTTCTCAGGATCACAGGCAGAAGAAGCACAACCCCCCACCAACCAAACTCATTTAAACTGCAATGCATTCCCTAAAACAGGTTGTTCAATCGAGCAGATATTTGATCAAATAAGTTACAATACTCGGAATATGCATCTCTATATAAACTCCAAAAAAATGCCAATACATTGTCATATCTGAAACAAATCTCAACGGATAGAAGAAAAGTTACTAGCATAGGGGCAAGATTTTTAATGAATTCAGGTTCATGATGAGGACCACAAAATGGATTATGTAATTGACTCGAACAGATTAAGTAAATTGTTAGAAACCTGATACATGGTTCAGATTTGGAAGAAAGAGAGAGAAAGCCGAGAAAGAGAAAAAGAAAGAAAGCCGAGAATCAGCAAGATTTTTGAGAGGGAAAATATTCTGATTTCAATAATTTTCCATGATTTCTTTCCTCGAATACATGCCTATATATAGATTATAAAGGCAGGAGACTATAACCACCTGAATGGCAGAATAATGGTCCAGATCTTCCTCTCATTTTTCTATTATTATATTTCTACATTCTCCTAACTCTAATCCGAATTTCTTATAATGGAAAAGATAAAACAACTCTTGTACCAACTTTACCTTTTTTACCCTGCATATTATTTTACCAATTTTCTACTTACCCTTGGTTCGTTACATAAATATTCCGTATGAGGACTCACAAATTACATATCCAAATATGATATATATCTTTTCTTTTGGCCGGTAGCACGAACATACCTTGATAGCACTTCTCGTGTCTCAGCCATTAGTTGATCAAATTTGGTTACAGGAGATGAAACTGCAGAGTTATTGTCGGAGACTGTAACTTGCTTGTGCAACCTTGTATCTTCAGGCATCAAATAATCAATCCAATGATGGGGATTTCCAGTGCTCATGAACATGTCAAGAATCTGCATGACAGTTTCATGGAGGACTGTAGTGTTGAAGTAATCTTTCAACTGCTTTCTGCACATACAACATCCAAGCTATTTAAGAAAAGGTTCTCGAGTCAAATTTACTCTGCTAAAAATTTTAAAAAAAATAATAGAAATATTTGAAACAAATTAGAATTTGCAAGCGGAATGAAGTGTCAGGAATATTGACTTCCTAATTTCAGTCCATCAGAATTTATTACTTCCATTTTGTTGGTTTTCTTTAGGACAGTATGCCATATTTTTCAGGAGAATTTTGCCTTGACATTGTTCCTAACAACTTTAGGTATGCCCATAAGGTGCTCCTATTTAGGACAATAAATGGGAAAAATATTTGAATAAGAATTGTATTCTAATTGCAAGTTAATTTTATATCTAATTCAAATTAGATATTTTTTATCGTTTCTTCCTTAATAAGTGGAAATTAACATCGACCATTATGAACTTGAAGATATATGAGAATTAATTCAATTATGTATCAACTATATGAATTATAACAAAATTCTACATACCAAATAATTAAGATGTAGAAAATGAATGAAAATAGAATAAACTTAACCAAACACAATAAAAATGTAAAGGGAGTTATAGTCAACCTAAAATTTGCAATACTAAAAAGCAACTTAATACCATTGAGTTCCAAATCTAGGAATTAATCAAAAAAGGGGGCTTAGAAATTTGATTTAATGGTTGCAAAACAAACAGAATGCATATTTTCAAGGTTCATACTCAAGCTTGAACATGCTCAACCAGCAAGGTCGCAGTTTCCAACATGATTCGTAGGAAGATTATAAGAATTATTTCATCTGTGAGATTTCTCTCTTACGGCTTCTTTTTTTCGAAAGAGATTCCATGCTAAAATTGCTCCTTCCCGCAGTCCTAAATTATTATTGATCTCGAGAAAGGAATACAATTGAAAGACCTTTACCATGAAAAGATTAAATTACTAGAGAAAGTTAGACATTGTTTTAGAGTGATAAGAAACCTCACCCCTTAAGAACTTCTGTAACTGCTGCCTGCAAATCAGAAATCAACGCTGGCATGCCATAGTTTGCAAGAAAATCAGCACCAGACAGAAACTTTTTCTCATTGTCTGTATCAATTAGATCAGCATCGTCCTGTAGAGAAGGAAAGAAAAGGAACACGTTCAAAAACAAAAACTTAGAAAAAAGAGAAAGATAATCGAACGCGATTGGGGCTTGATCATTATCTATCAGTTCACCTTGGCTAATGAAAGTTACATATAGGGCTGGTTAAATATGCTACCATCACAACACCCACTTTTGATAGGAGAATAATGTTGAAGAAATACCAATGTCACGTAAAGAACCAGAAACGAAAAAACTGGAAGAAAAACATAGAGAATATACAATCAAATGCGAGGAGAAAGCTGATTAGCATCTGAGACTTCGATTG